ATTAGGGGTCCTCGGGCGTCCGGTCTATTGATGTGGGCCGGACTGATGGGCCGTCAAGATACAAGCAGAAGATTATCTCTCGTGTCCGGTGGGAACTCTCACATGCGTGGATGGCAAGTGTAGGTGTCCAGATATTTTATTCCTTTTTGTAAAACCAACTTTGTACAACCCTAAGCCCCTCCGGTGTCTATATAAACCGGAGGGTTAGGTCGGAGGCAAGATCATAACAATACTGCTAGGCTAGTTATCTAGGGTTAGCCGAATCGATCTCGAGGTAGATCAACTCTTGTAACCCCTATACCCTCAAGTATAATCAAGCAGGAGTAGGGTTTTACCTTCATTAAGAGGGCCCAAACCTGGGTAAATACCGTGTCCCTTCTCCATTGTTACCATTGATCTTCAGACGAACAACTTGGGCCCCCCTACCAGAGATCTGCCGGTTTTGACACCGACAAGAGGGCGAAACGAGAAGGTGCGGCGGCCTAGCTAACGGAGAGGTTCGAGGACATCTTGTCGAAGAAGGAGGAGGCATGCGTGAAGCGCTCGAACCTCAAGGAGGAGAAAAAGGCGGAGAGATTCAAATTGTTGATAGAGGCGACTGACAACAAGGTCAAGCTCGAAGAGAGGAGGACCATGATCGAAGAGAGGAAGGTCGCACTCGAGGAAAAGAAATTGGAGACCACCGCCAAAGTGAGGATGCCAAGATGTTGACCTTGAATCTGGACTCTTTGGACGCCGATACAAAAATGATCGTGCAATCCGCTCGCTACCAGATGTTGTAGTTGTCAATTGATAGCAGCGGGCCATGAGGACGAGGCGGATGCGGACGCAGAGGCTGTCTACGCAGCGGCGACGACACCCTGATTGGGAGCAGACGGCTGGGATTGCCGATCCGGTAGGGCAAATAATTGCATGGACTACCGGGCTAATATTTTTTTGGATTCGGGCATGTAAAAACTAAGCATACTCCCTTTCTCTGTTGTTATTAGGCATGCAATCCGGCGCGCCGTGTGGATCAGTCTAAATTTGAATTTCAAATTCCCTTTACTGACAGATATATACGCGATAGCATTGTATGGCGGCATTTCGCATTCGTGTCCATGAACGGATGCGGGAGAAAATTTGCGGGCCGCCGTTAGAAATGCCCTAACCAAGCGACGGAGAAAGCTCAATGCAAGGTGACTTTCACATGTGTTTGCTTGCTAGTACGTATAGTACTTTGCTTTGCTCATCCCTCCCAAAACAGAAGCATGCAACAACAGGTAACTCTCGCGTAAAGCCAGGAACAAGTACCACTAGCACTACCACAAGCAGAAGCCATGAGCATACACTACTACATGTCCTCTTTGCATTTATTTATAGGAAGATTTGCATCCAAAGAAATTGTCCGTGTACGTACGGTGTACCCTCAGCTTTCAATAACGCCTGTTTGCACCAAACCAACGGTACGGCGTCCTTTCTTTTTCATAGATAGGATCGTGCATACCACATTCGTACCGCCAGTACCATACCGTCCTTGCCCCGAGAACAATTGCGTGCTCACGCACACACTGTTACACTAAGCACAAGACACGCCGGAAAAAGGAAGATAAGATCTGTTTACCAGACAAGTGAACCAAACCAAACCATTTCCTGACAGCTCTCTGCCGCTGTCTACCAACGCCGATGTGGTTCGAGAGCCAGAAGATGTGTCTGCATGCGCATGGCACTGTGCCGCACAACCGTATTTCATCTTCTTGGTCGTCGTCATGATGCATGAGACAGGGCGCGCGGCCATGGCAGGACACGTGAGCTTAACTAAATGGCCGCCGGCCCGCCCGCGCGCTCCCTTTATCTTTACTCCTCGCCTCGCCTCCTTTGCCCGCTTCTACGCCTCCGCTTTTCGGCCCTCTCCCTTTATTTTATTTTTGTTTTCGCTGCCCCGTAATCTATGTTGCGCGTGGACCCCATATCAGTAGTACGGGAGGAGGGAGGTTTAAAGCCGTTGCGTTGCTTTGGAGGATGGATGATGAGGTTGACGTCGTGCTGGGTCGGGTCGCGCATCGGGCGGCGTGTGACGCACACTGACACAATGGAGTATTCTTCTGTTGCTCTTTTAATGACCGGGATTAAGATACTACCACCACTGCACACAATTCTCTACTGTGGCACAGTAGAGTAGCTTCTTCATGCAGGCAGGCACGCGGTGGGATGATGCAGAAGAAGCGCAGGCTTCTCATGGATCTTGACCTTGACCGCATAGTTTCGCATGGATTTTTTTTCGAATATGCACGAGTGTGCATATTATATATTATAGAAGAAAGGCAAAGAGTGCCTCCACCATAGTTCCAAGGTTCATATTACAACACTCCTAATCCTCACTACTAGCCCACCGTTCAAGCCGAAGGAAGAAGGTGTCCATGTCTCTCTTAAACTTGCCGGCAATAGACCACATTCTTCCTTCCGACCTTACTCTACCTAGTAAAACACCTAACGAAGGTGATGCCCCACCCCATCAAACACAATAGCATTGCGATGCTTTCACAGCTCCCACAAAGTCAGCAAGAAAACCGTATGAAGATCCTTCTTGTGCCAGCCGTTAGTCCCATGCTTCTCCGCAAGCCAGATGGCTAAGGAATCATGTGCAGTCGGAGTCCAGTCCAGCATGCCCAGCGCCTCACATACTGCAGCCCACGCTGACTTGGCAAAGACGCACGTCAGTAGCACATGATCAATCGTTTCGTCCTCCTGGTCGCATAAGGGGCATGCATCCTGGTGTGGGAGGCCTCTCCTCGCCAGTCTGTCAGAGGTCCAACACCTGTTTCTTAAGGCAAGCCAAGCAAAAAACTTGCAGGTAGCTGGGGCGTGAGACTTCCAGGTCAGCTCTGCCATAGGCTCAACCGTCCGTCCCCAAAATTTTGCCGCGTAAGCCGAGCGCACCGAGAAACGGCAGTTGGTCTCCCATGACCAACCGACCAAGTCCGGCCCATCCGCCTGCTGCTCCCACGTGCTTACTTTGATCCAAAGCTGTAAGTACTCCTGCAATGCTCCCTCACCAATATTCGGGCCAACATCCGATGCCCAAGACCCATTTTGCACAGCCTGGGCGACTGATCTCGTCAATCTGGTCCGCCTTGGGATCATACCATATATTGTTGAAGCAATCTCTTGTATCCGCATACCATCTAGCCAACGATCCTCCCAAAAAAGTGTATGGAGACCACAGTTTGCTTCACTCCTCATAGCCGCCTGGACAAGTAACTTAGCTTCTTTGGGGATCTTGATCTTGAACTCGCTCCAAGGTCTACTCGTGTCCACTCTTGTGAGCCATGCCCACCTGGCTTGCATGGCCACATTCAGCCATCCAAGGTTAGGTATCCCTAAGCCACCAGCCCACTTCGGCGCACACACCGAATCCCAAGCAACCGCACAGTTCCCTCCGTTAGCTTCCGCTCTTCTGCACCATAGGAAGCCTCTACACACTTTGTTCATTGCCGCAATCGTCTTCTTTGGTAAGTCGAGCGCCATCATGGCGTGGATGGGCATGGCACAGAGCACAGACTTCACCAATGTAAGCCGCCCACTCTTCGGCATTAGAGCCGCTTTCCACTTAGGCAGACAATTTGCCATCTGATCAACTAGAAACTGCATTTGTGCCGCGGACTGCTTCCTCAAGGTCAGCGGCAGCCCAAGGTACTTAATTGGAAAAGCCCCTCTCGGGCATCCCAGCCGATGACACACCGTACCTGCCTCCTGATCATTGCATCTTATCGGTAGGGCCACCGATTTGCCCATGTTTATCCTCAAGCCCGAAGCCTCTCCAAACATTTCCAGAATGTTCTTGCATATGTCTAGCTCCGTGGACTTGGGCTTGATGAACACCACCACATCATCAACAAATATAGACAAGGCGCTGCCTCATACCTGTATGTGCCAAGGGCTCCAACGCACCACTAGTCGTGGCCCTCTGAAACAACCTCTGCAACGGTTCCATAGTAAGAATGAATAGCATCGGCGATATCGGATCCCCTTGTCGCAGCCCCTTGCAGTTATAGATGGTGTCGCCGGGGTCTCCATTTACCATGACTTTGGTGGTGGATGTTGAAAGGATTCCACAGATCCAGGATCTCCACCCAGGGCCAAACCCCAATTCGCATGGATTTGATTTGTTTGTTTGCTATTATTGCTAGGATTACTTTTTCTGCTAGGTGTATTTTACAGTCTTGATGAAAGAAAGCCAATAATGCTCTTCTTATACAAGATTGGGAGGGAGGAATAGACATGATGCCAAAATCCAACGAGAAACGGGGCGAGACTTGGGACCCCATTCCACTCAATTCAATTCAATTTAAAGTGGACACAAAGCTAATCTCCGGGCACCACAGCACGTACCGCCCAAAATAAATAGGGCGTCCAGCAATTGGCATAAGTGCAGCACAAGCTAAGGACGGGGGTTGCTTTCGGCCGCGGCGATTTACAGACAACAACAACGTCGATAAACCTCATTCATTCAGTTGTTTCCCACCCCAATCTCCTGACTGTGCGCAGCTGTTTTCGAAAACAAGTCGGGAGATCTCGTGCTCCACCCGAAAAGCGCAAGCGAACAAGGGCGACAGCGACTAATCCGGCCAGTCTCACATCGGCTGGAAAGCAACCCTCTCCAGCTCCAGCTCCAGTCCCGGCCAAAATTTAAGCCCCATCCCCAAAAGCAAGGATAGGGATCCATGGCTTAATCGCCGCCATCGAAACCAAACCTACATCTAATCGAAGCAGAAAAAAAGGGCTAGCCGCGCTCTCTCGCCACCCTCGGCCTGGGCTCGGGGTCGGGGTCGGGCCACCATTACTCCCACTCCACCTTCCCCGTTTCAATTCACTCCAGTCCAGTCCCCACACTCCAACTAAAAGCTCGCTCTTTCCTTCTCTCTCTCTCTCTCCTCTCCGCCATGGCCGCCTACTCTTCCTCCTCCTAGCGCGCGCCCCACCGCCAGCAGCGCGATCCAGATCCCACCCGGCGCCCGCCCATGGGGGGCTGCCACGCCAAGCCGCGCACCCGCGACGCCGACGGCGCATCCCCGCCGCCACCCGCGCCGGCCACGCCCCCGCCGGCCTCCTCCACGGCGCCCGCCACGCCGGCCTCCAAGAAGCACTGGACGTCCTCCCCCTTCTTCCCCTTCTCCACGCCCAGCCCCAGCCCGGCGCACCACCTCTTCTCCTCCTCCGCGGCCTCCCCGAGGACCTCCTCCAAGTCCCCCGCCCCGGCGGGCTCCAAGTCCCCGGCGCCCACCACCCCGGCCAGGCGCCTCCTGCGCCTGCCCTTCCCGCCGCCCTCGCCCGCCAAGCACATCCGCCAGGCGCTCGCGCGGAGGCACGGCCCGTCGCGCCCGGCGATCCCCGAGGAGGGCGGCGACAGCGACGGCGGGAGGGGCCTCGACAAGGGCTTCGGCTTCAACAAGGGCTTCGCCGCCAAGTACGACCTCGGGGACGAGGTCGGGAGGGGCCACTTCGGCTACACCTGCGCCGCCAGGATCAGGAAGGGCGCGCGCAAGGGGGACGCCGTCGCCGTCAAGGTCATCCCCAAGGCCAAGGTGATGACCTACCTGCAACTTCTGCAAACGCTTTTTTTCTGAAAGTTGATGCCGCGCTAGTTTAGATTTGTGAATTTCTGTTGGATAATGCGCTACTCTCATGACTTTTGTGCTTTTGAATGATGCCGTATAAATGTCCTTCATATTTTGTTGAACAGAGAAAGGTAAAGCATGTTCTCCTGAAAGCAACTACTCACTAATCTAATCAAAGTTTTTGAGAACTGGATGCATGCCTGTTCATTTCCTAAGAAGCGTGGCCCCTTCTTGTCTACAGGAGTATAGTGAGTAGATGTGCCTTGTTACAGGTGTTCCCTGACATCATGGGCAGGGTTCATGTACTAACATGCTATTGATCCACATCGTGCATTGTAAAAAGAATATCTAATTTTATCACATGCATCGTACCTGTATATAAGAATAATATGGATTACGAGATCTTCTACGTTCAGCATTGTTGCATGGCACGTACTAGGTAACATATTAACTTATGTGCTGTAAAATATTAAATATGCCCACTTGAATGATGAGATCTGAGCAGGTCCTGTCATTTTTTGTTATGGAGTTTACACTTGATATTCCGTAACTACTTTGCCTATTGCTCTTTTATCGCTGTGCCATCTGGTTTAAGCTCTCCATGGTTGCAATCTCCGTTATTTGGGTCACCACGTTTCAGTGCTTTACTTGAGGATTAATACCATCATTTTGTCATAGCTAGGCATGAACTTAGTTCCTTAGTCCTTGTATGTACATTTTTTTAGTATCATCTGAAGTTGCTCTAATCTCTTGTCAGATGACAACATCCATTGCTATAGAGGATGTCCGGAGGGAGGTGAAAATTTTGAAGGCTTTAGCAGGGCACAAGAACTTGGTTCAGTTTTATGATGCATATGAGGACAACGAAAATGTCTACATAGTCATGGAGTAAGTTCCAGTACCTTGATAGTCACAATGTGTTTTGACCTCAATTTTACATGCTATGAGGATGCTCTCCTTAAGATGTCAAGTAGAGTAGAGTAGCTTTTTGCCCTCGTTATCAATACTCTCAACTACAAGCATAGAAAACAAACTCACTGAATAATCAGTTCCAGTTTATTAACCCAACTTGAATAGTTTTCCACAGTCCCTTTTTATTAAGATTCTTTGATCTACTAATTGTTGGTGCAGCAATAATTACCTTTCAGAAGCATATAAATGTGTTATCTTGTGTGCTTAAAAACGTCTTTAACAACCATATGTTATTTCATCCATATGTCTGGACGGTTAGTTACCTTTTCAGTTCTTAGGTTAGTTCTTGTTCGTACGTTAGTTACTGGCAGTTTAAATAATCTGGTAGCAGTTATCACTTGATAATGCATGATGAAAATGAACATACATTAATGTCATTTGGGGCAGCCACACTGTTTTAAATATGCTTGCAGTGCAACTGGATACTCTTTTATTTTTCCGTCCAATTGCCCAAACTTGACAACAAATATTTCGCCAATAAAAAGGATTTCCAGATATGGCCAAATCCAGATGATGTCATTACTACAGGTCGTTGAATGTTGTCTTATATTAGACATCTTTTTTTTGGCATCTATGTTTAGCTTCTATACCTTCTGCTGATGGTGATCCCTGTACGCTATATTCTGGATTTCAAATGCCATGCACTCTGTGTTTAGTTTTTTTTTAATATTTAACTAAAAATCCCGTTGTTTAGGTTGTGTGAGGGCGGGGAGCTTCTGGATAGAATACTTTCCAGGTAAGCTACAAATAAACTTACATTATGGTATACAACATTATGGTTTATTACGAAATACTTTAATATAGCTTATGTTTTGCATTCATTTTAAGTAGAGGTGGGAAGTACTCCGAGGATGATGCAAAGTCTGTCCTGGTCCAAATATTGAATGTTGTCGCTTTTTGCCACATCCAAGGAGTGGTTCACAGGGATCTCAAACCAGAGGTGAAGTGCCTTTTCAGTTTTACCTGCATCTCATCAGTTGTCATCATTACCATGTTTGAGATATTAGAAAGTGATGATTTAAACAGCGCTGGTAAACAAGCCATGTCTTTTAAGGCAAATGGTGATGGTTACCTGTTTCTACTTCCAATGTTCGAACCTCCTTTCCGAAAAAAATTTACACTATTTCAAGAGACGTATAATTTGTTCATGGCATTCCTTAGATGGTTTATTTATTGTATTGCCTTTGTCTTCTCCTGTGAATAAGATATAATTTTACTGTTATTGTATTTGACATTGCAATGGATTTCTAAAATGTTTGTGTTTTTTCTCTTCAGAATTTTCTTTTTACTTCGAAAGATGAGAACTCTCAACTTAAGACAATTGACTTTGGATTATCAGACTTTGTAAAACCAGGTTAGTTTCTTGCTCATCAATCTACATATCTGTTGATTTGTACTCCCTCTGTAAACTAATATAAGAGCATTTAGATCACTACTTTAGTGATCTAAATGCTCTTATATTTCTTTACGGAGGGAGTACTTGCCATCAGTGAAGATAATACTACCCACTAGCACTTTTTTAATGCAATGTTCTAATACCTTATGCAGATGAGAGACTAAATGATATAGTTGGAAGTGCTTATTATGTTGCTCCGGAAGTTCTACATAGATGCTATAGCACAGAAGCGGATGTATGGAGTATAGGTGTCATTGCATATATCCTCCTTTGTGGCAGCCGCCCTTTTTGGGCACGCACTGAATCTGGCATATTCCGTTCTGTTCTCAAAGCTGACCCCAGTTATAATGAGGCACCTTGGCCTTCTCTAACTCCAGAAGCAATGGACTTTGTTAAGCGCTTGCTGTGCAAGGATCCACGTAGAAGGATGACTGCAGCACAAGCTTTAGGTGAGTTTCAATCTGTCTGTATGGATCGAATTTAAAACTTACATTGCTAACTCCACCTTATATTATGTTTTTCAGGTCATCCATGGATTAGAAATTACAATGACATCAAGATGCCATTGGACGTCCTTATATTCCGTCTTATCAAAGCTTATATTCGTTCTTCATCATTACGTAAAGCTGCTCTGAAGGTCTGCATTGATAAAACCTGTTCTGATTTTTCTCCTGTTATTCCACAAAGATATATGTGTTGCTTCTTCAAATTTGGACTTGCTTCTATACAGCATTTTTCTACCCAGGGCTTTGAATGGTTGTGCAGTAACCTACTCCCTCCGTCATTGTGGGACGGAGGGAGTAGTATTTATCATTACATGCATACAATTTCCGTAAATGTTTTTTCGGGAGCCTACTTTTTGTACCATACCTTTATAAGTTCTAGAACGAAATGCTTGGACAGTTATGTTTTCTTGCAATCCTCTCCTGTTAAAATAACTTAAAAAGGGGATACCACTTTATTTGAAATTCAAATTTGTGTTCTCAAGCTTTTCTTTTGACACCCATGCCTGATCTCTTTTACTTTTCTCTGCAAGCTGCAGCCATTGACGTATTTTTCTTGATCCACTACAGGCTTTATCGAAGACTTTGACTGTTGATGAGCTTTTCTATCTCAAAGGGCAGTTTTCCTTATTAGAACCTGACAGAAATGGATGCATAACTCTAGATAATATCAGAATGGTTGGTTCATCATAGAGCTCTGATATGTTCTTTCCCATACATTTTGAAGCTACGCTGCTGACTCTTCCTGTTTCATCCTCTTCAGGCCTTAACAAGAGAAGCCACGGATGCGATGAAAGAAACACGAGTTCAGGAGATTCTTGTCTCGGTACCTTACTTATGTTGTTGATCTTAAGACATCATTTTCCTCCAGCACAAATTGTACTCACTGTATACCTGAATTGTCTTTTCAGTTGAGTGCTCTTCAGTACAGAAGAATGGACTTCCATGAGTTCTGTGCAGCTGCAGTAAGTGTTCACCAGCTTGAAGCATTAGACAGATGGGAGCAACATGCGAGATCAGCTTATGAAATTTTCGAGAAGGATGGCAATCGAGCCATTGTAATTGACGAACTAGCTTCAGTATGTCATGTCTTCCTCTCCACCCACGTTCATTTCCTAACTGATAAAAATTGGAGTCTCTTCACACATTTCCTGTGGTGTTTCAGGAACTGGGTCTCAGCCCCTCGGTGCCGCTGCACGTTGTTCTGCAGGACTGGATCCGGCACACCGATGGGAAGCTCAGCTTCCTCGGGTTTGTCAAGTTGCTGCATGGCATGTCCAGCAGGTCCCTGTCAAAGATGAGATAGCTGTTGATAATCTCTAACGACAGTACAAATTCATGCTGCCCCAGCCCCAGCCCAACTTAGCAAGCAAGGCCAAGACTGCACACTGAGGTCGACACGACACGAGCGCTGCCTGCGCTAGAACCCGCCTGGTTTTGCCACTAATTTGAGTATAGAGTTCTGTTTGCGGTCGCCCGTGTACTTATCATCACCGTCCTCTTCAAAGTTCATCAGCATCGTCTTTGAGTAGGTTAGGAAAAGGAAATTTCACCCGTGTCTCGGCAACATGTGATGCCTCTAACAGTCTCTTAGAATAGCCCGCCCAGCCATGTCCTGTCGCTGTGGGCAGCGTTGTAAAATGCCCCCGTTCATGTAACTGGAGCAGAGTCACCCTTTTGTCGTCAGTGTGCCGTTATATTGATTGAGTTGAAGATGCTTGAATTTTGTGCTGCTCATCCGGTTTTTGCTTCAACTTTCTTACTTGTTGGAAACGATTGTTTTGGCAATGCTTCACGATGTATTGATCGGTGCAAAGTGCACGTATATATGGAGTACAAAGTGGGCCACAACCTCAACTATACAAAGACTAGGAGGTGGGCCATACTATACAATATACATACACAAACCATATATTCAA